TGAATGTCATTATATTGTGTACCTAAAATGTACCAATAAAATTTTTTTAAAAAGAAAAAAAACTAAGCTATTCCTCTGTTTTCTATGCAAAGCAAAATAGTGTCACACACTGCCTTCATTCAAAGGCATCAAGTTTTACATGGATGTCAATTATTTGTTAACTTATAATGAGGCAAAAAGGAGGGCAGAAGAAAACAATGCTGAGATTAAGTCTGTAGTCCAAACTTGCCAGTTTCCCAGGTAAGTGCTCTTATTGAATTAAAATATTGGTTTTGATAACTCAACTCAAGAGAGACTTCTTTCCCCACAATTCCATGCAGTATATAGAGAACAAGCCTCAAAGCAATCCAGTGGCCAATATTCGGTGGACAAAGCACTCTATCTTGCAAGGTACATTACAAGAGAAATAAAAGCCTTGCCTTATTCAGGCAAGGCTTTTTCCCAACTGAAAAAAATATGCTCACAATGAGGAGTGTTGAAAGTAGTCTCAGGTGGACTCCAAAAGGATTGAATGCTAGATCAGCATGGACTTATTTAACTAATCGCCTCCATGACTTGTGACATGGAATTAACTCTTCAGCTAGAAAGTTGAGCACCATATTGATGCAAAACACCTCTTGAAATTTATCAACATCCCACCCTGCCCAATTTTAAAGTTGAATTAATAAGAGGGATCTAACCCTAAATTCCTTCGTAGGAAAACTTCTTTGTGAGTCTAAACTTTAACATGAGGGAAAAACACATCTTGAACTTTCGCATCCCCTTCTCATAAATACTATTTCTCTGTCATTTTTATCTGCAAAATTACATAGAAGGCTGTTTCTAAATAGTTGCCACAAGATTTGCCTTAGTGAGGATTCAAAACATTGATCAAACTTTTCCCCTACTCATTCTAAAAGGAACAACTCCAGACAGAAGGTTCTAGTAGAATTTGGCTTAATTAGATGCTTCGGTCCAGCTTTATTCTCTGTCTACTCACTTACAAGTATTTCCAGCTTTGGGTTTATAGAATTATTACATTTACAAATACAAAGTGCATACTCAGACTTGTTTTGGTAGTGGAGTGGTACGGGACAGCTTGGCTGAGTACACAAAGAAACTTTCACCAAATGTTTCCAGACCACCAGGTTTTTTCATATGCCCGCTGGGTAGGAGGCAGAAATAAGGCATTGAAAGGGTGGCTCTTTGATTTGGTTTCCAATACCTCAATGAGCACACTGGAAGGATTTGTTCAAAGAAAAAGCTGCTCTCAGTTTTTCTGGGGTCTGTGTCTGGGAAAGGACATAGACAATATATACTTTTTCTTCTTCCAGTACAGTCAGTTGAGACCAGCATCAGAAGAAAATCTCAATCAGGGTCTTGAAACCCAGGGATATGAGAAATAATTATGTGCTAATTCTGGCCTCAACTCTCAGCAATACTTTATGAAATCTGTGATGTACAGCATTAACCTTCAAGGGACTCAAGGCAGAGCTCATAAGAATGTTGAAAAGGTCAGACCCTCCACCATAATTAACACCAAACATTTGCAGGATATTTTCAGTGTAAAAATTTCCCAATTATTCACACTTATAAAAACATTGAACAACATTACAGAGGGAAATGACTTTCTCTTCCAGTTTTTAGTTAATTGGAAAATACTGGCTGTGCTTGTTAGCAAATAAACAGATTATTCTCATAGCACCCTTTTTCTGCCATGACTTCTAAGTACAATTGTGATAGTAGAGAATTTACTAGGGTTGGGTATTATAAAAGGTATACATTTATTGATAACAGAAAAACAGAAATCTAAGACAAGAGCTTTGGAAACCACCTGGAATTTCTATTCAGGTATACATTGATTGGAGTGGTTGTTTTAATGGGATTTGTTCCATTTCTCATTTAGAATGCCTCTTTTTGCAAGACTCTCTGATATCAGTTTAAATTCTTTCCCTTCTCAGTCCAAATGCTGTTAAGAAAGTGAACTTTATTCTGCACAGTGCTATAAAACTGTACCCAAGGTTTAATGTGAGACCATATTTTCTACACACCCAAGACAGAGCAATGGGGATGCAATGTACATCAGTAATATCCCAGGAATGGCAGGAAGTAAATCTTTCCAACTTCTTGGATCCTTGTAGACCATGGTGTAGTTAAAAGCAGGAAAACCTTTTTGTCATCAGGGATTGGTCTTCTGGAAGAAAATTTTTTCACGGATGTGGGTGGGGTGGTGGGATGGTTTGAAGATGATTCAGTGAAGCTTGCAACCTAAATCCCTTTAACGCACAGTTCACAGTAGGGTTTCCGAATCTAACACCACTGTTGATGTGATGATGGTACTGTCCATACCTAGGTTGGGGACTCCTGCACTCAGTCATTTCGGTCAGTTAGTCTTCAGAACAATGATCACTATTTCCTGTACTGATGGCATTGTGTACAGTGTCACAAAAAATAAATAGGTATATGTGAGAACATATTTTCCATCCTGCAGGGCAAATATTAGAAGGTATGACATACATACACACATATTCTTCTGTACCCACACATGTACAATCCATTGGAGAAACAGACACCTATAATTCTATCATACAAGAAAAATGAAACAAAACCAAACCACCATGGTATATAATAAAAATTAGGTTACAAGGAGACTCTGGAGTGTAGGTTAAAAAACACCCACGTAGGGTATTTGAGGAGTATTCCTAGAGGAGGTAAAACTTTGACTGAAAATGACTTTGAAAGGTAAAAGCAGGGGTGGGAGAAGTTAATTAGCTGAAACCCTGCCACGGGGTACAAAGGTCACACTTCCCAACGAGGGGGTCCCCTGTGCATTCCTCGCAATGGCCACCAGCTGGATCAAGGCTCATACATTGCTCTGTGATGGTCATCTCTGAAAAATACTGTCATTCCTATCTGCAAGGTAAGAAAGAATTACAGTGCTTGCTTATAAAGTATAAGAGCAATCCTTATCAGATTGGTGCTACAAGAGGAAGAATTTAATATTTGTAATGTTTATATAGAGATTTATCTCTGAGACGCCCCTCTCATATACATTATTTCCTGGTATAATCTAATATTTGCTAGGAATCTTCCTCATGTTCAATACTTTCTAGAATTGTAATAAATAATCCAATTCAATTTAAAAAATAATAATGTTTTCCTCCAAATTCTAATAATCCTGTGATACAATCTGTCCCCAGTTGTGGTTATGTGCAGTAATTTCCTTTCCTTTTCAATTTCTTTGTCAAGTTCTTTTCTTTGTCCCATTAATTTTTCATATGTGGTCTTTTGGTTCAAAGAGTTCACAGAGGGTTGGTCAGGATTTTGAGAGTTCTTAGTTTCATGTCTTTTTAATTTATTTATTTAATGTTCCAGATGTTACTCTTCTGAAGTATTACATAAAACAACTAATGGACATCATTACTGACTGGATCAGATGTTTCATTTGTATATCTAAACTTGACTGGAATAAATCCTATATGGATATATTTTACTTTCTTTGTGGTAAAGGGACAGGTGGGGGGAGTGTTGCCTACATATATTAAAACTGTCTGAAATAGCAACCTATTTTCTGAAATAAATTTTCTTTCTAAGCAGATGGGCTCTCCTTTTGAAGTATGTATCTCATTACCATGGGTATTTTCATTTATGATTTTGGGGGTAGATGTTAGTATTGATTGTATATGTATTCGTGCATCCTGTTTAAAAATAACTACATATTTTTCCTCTTAATAAATATGCAATACACCGTTCCTCAACTTGCCCTTCCCAGCAATATCCAAATGGTTTTATAAGGAGTTGACCCTCTACTGCTTTGTGTATGGTTTTAGGAGCTGGGTATTGGCCAGGCTAGCCTTCCACTACAGATGTCTATGTTATAATATTTACAGAAACAAATTGGTCATAATGTAGATCTTATAGCCTTGGGCATTTTACTTCACTCCTCTGATCTCAGTTTCCTCATTGTAAAATAAGGATGAGAGATCTTTATGGGGTCTAGTGAAGATTGAACTACAGGCAAAGTACTTAGAATTATACCTGGTATATACTAAATATATAATGAATACCAACTATTAGATGTGGGAGCAGGAAGTAGATGTAGTCTGGTCTTATTTTTCCCAAGTATGAGAATTTCATTTAAAGTGTGCATTTGTATCTTCTTGCATATATAAAGAAGAGTGAGCAGTGGAGATCTCAAGACAGCCAAAAAGTTCCAAGAAAGATACCTAAACTGTAACCTTACTTGTAGGAGTTGATCAATTCTAATTGGCACACACAATGACCAGTGTGTTACAAGAAGGACTGTAAAATAAGGGTATAAAAACCTCAGAAAGAAAATAGAGTCTCCTGGGTTATGCTGGCTGGTTCTGACTGGCATTATAAATTATAAGATGATGTTAATGGGGCATTTAATATTTTATTTATAATATAGTTTATATTATATATTTGTGATATATAATAAATGTAATAATATTTATTAATGAGCTAACAAGGAAGAGTTTACGCTCCACTCAGGTTCTAGAGCCTCAGTATTCTCGTGGATAGAATGTTTCCATGATCTCTGGATTCTAGTTAAGAAGCAGATAACCAATGAATAACAATCTAACGTGGGATAACAGTATGTTAGTATGTCATACATCAGTAAGTTCCAATAAGAATGATGAAACAGCCAGGTGTGGTGATGCACATCTTTAATTCTAGAACTCTGAGAAGCTGAGGCAGTAGAATTGCAAGTCTGAGCCCAGTATGGGTAACTCAGAGGTCCCATATCAAAAATAAAAGGTTCTTGGGGTGCTGAGGAAGGAGGATCACTGCATGTTCAAAGCTAGCCTGCACTACATAGTGAGATCCTGTCTCAAAAAAAAAATAAATAAATGAATAATAAGAAGGGCTGAAAATATAGATCAGTTCAAAGGTCTTGTGTTTAATCACCAGTCCCTCCCCTCAAAAAAAGAAAAAAAAAAGATTTAACAGAGTAAAAGAATCAAAAGTAACAAAAGCCTCATTTTGCAGATAAAGAGAGTGGAGATATTTCTCTGAAGATGTGACATTTGAGCAGACCTGATCGAAATAAGGGTTGAACAATGTGAGGCTGTGCTGGAAGACTATTCCAGGAAAAAGAAAGAGCAAGTGGGAATAACTGTGGTATGTTTAAGGAACACAAAAAAAACATGTATTCTCAGGGGGATAAGAATATGCTCGAGAGGTGGGCAGGAGCCAGATTGCACAAATCCTTACAAAGCCAGCTAAGGAGTGTGGATTTTATTCTTGTTTTGAACAGGAGAAACAGGACCTGATTTGTGTTTTTAAAGATCAATCGCACCGTTTTATGAATACCTGCCGACCATGGAGAGGCGAGACAGCAAGCAGGCCAGGTGAGGAATATGTAATGAAGGCTTGGACAAGGAAGCAAAGGCAGTGGAGAAGGGCCATCAGAATCTGGAAACACTCTAAGGTACAACTGACGGACTGAGTGTGTAGAGTGTAAATAAATGAGTGGAGTAAAAAACAATCTTAGATTTTTAGCTTGAACAAAGAGTTGAAAAACGGTGCCCTGAGATAAGGAACTCAAAGAGAAGGAGACGGAGGGTTTGGTAATAGACATCATGACACTTCTTCCCCAGTCATATTTAATTTAATTTGCTTGCTAAATGTCTAAGTGAAGATTGCAAAGAACACTAGGATAAGAAAGTAAGGAAGGTGCAATCAGTCAGGACTTCTCCAAAGAAGAGTGGACTTCTAACTGAACTTTGTACCTCTTTTAACTGAAGAATCATCTATCAATTCTAGTAATTTTTGCGAAGAAGTAGATTTTAAATGATATTAGTGAAGCTTAAATTTTTGGGTCTTTCAGTTGCATGGATGATTTGTAAACCCATGGGAATGGACATAATATTGTGTTCAAATGGTCATATCTATCATACATTTTCAAAACAAAATATTTTATTTTATTTTTTTCCCCATTAACTTTATTGGTACATTTTAGGTATAAAATACAGTTACATTCATCATTGGGATCTTGTACCATTACATG